TTGATATTGTTACGTAACCGTCCTACTTTACTGTTGATACGTCTTGCAAGTATTCCAGTCATTATCAACATGAAATTTATTAGTTTCAATAGTTAATACTAACTTAATTTATACGTATATTTGTATGTTGTAATATAACAGTTACAAGATTTATTTATAACTGTAGAGTAAGAAGATGAATTTATTGAAAACAAATATCACATTGTTTACATTCACCCAAGTATACACGATTACACACAACTATACCTCACCTTTGACCTGACTGACATGACATTAGCATGATCAAACCTGTTTTATTCTCTCTCAATATTTTGATTGGTTCTTTTGTGCAATTTTAACGTGCATTTACTCTAAAAGGTTGTTCATTTTTTGAAGAAGCTAATTCCACTAGATTGTCAAACGTCAGATATTCAATTTGCAACTCAATCAAACATAACAAATATATTGTTGTTTTACCATGATTATTGGGAGCATTTATTAATTGAAATATTCTTTCGTTATTATATGTTTTTTCTGGCCAATGATCTGTGTATAAGAACGATAATTCACCTAAATGGAAATTAGCTTCGTTTGTTGTTCCTCTAGACTTTTAACATTTTCGTAGTTTAAATCACGATCTAATGTAAGTTAGACTACGATTAAAACTCTGGAAACAGTGGATGGACATTTCATCCTGGTATGGGATTTCTCATCAGTGATTATCCACAAACTTGTGACAGGGACTTGAGCCCTGGACTTAAATTCTGGACCACTAGGTTGGAATTCAACTGCGTTAATGTCTAACTTTAGTCAACTCACTATACTGAGCAATCATTATTGTCTCAGATAGGTAGCTGTGTTACATCTTACATGGTTGAACTCCACTGATCACGGTTTCTCACTAGGAGTTACATCTTGAAGCTACTCACCAATGAGGATATTTGTAATTTGAAGACCTTTTCTTAACTAATCTTCATCAACATCCAACAATAATCACATACATACACGAATTGACTCGATATTGATACTCAATAAACAAGTCAATACTTGAACATCATATTCATTCTCTGATTATGTAACATTAAAATTATTTACGAATTCAAATGAAACAGTTCAATATGAGAACAGTGAAAACATAATCATTTCATCAATTCATGCCTTATCTTCATATAAACTAGTGATACTTTTCAATTGATCATTTCATCATAACGTTAAATCTAACTGCTAAATTAATTACTATCTAATTATCACGTTGTTTCTTTTATTATTTTCTTTTATTTATTCAGAATAATTCAACAATTCAATCTTATAGTATATATTTAATCATTAATTAATTAATTAACTATCTATATAATTGCACTAGCTTAAGTAGATGAAATCATTAAAATGAGAATTTACTCGGTTAAAATTATCTTTAATTCATATGAAATAAATAGTAATGACATTGTTCATATTTATCGTGATTTCATAATTTTAATATTTTGCTTAACTATATCAATTGACTCATTAATATAACTATTAAATTACTAAAATCTCCACAAAACCCATAATCTGATAACAATCATCATATGCTCACTAGTGACTGAATTCAAGAGGTATTCCCTGGAGTTCTAGTGAGAAGCAGTGACTAGTGGAGTCTGAAGACAATGGTGAACGGTGGCTCAATTTCATGGATTGGTTGGAGTTAGACGTTAATACCATTAGTTGTCAGCTCAGTGGTCTAAATGCTAAGCATTCGCGCGCGAAACCGATAGGTCCTGGGTTCAAATCCTGTATGTTGGATCGTAGATGAACAGAATAACTGATTACCAAAATATGAATAGCTTCATTTAATAAAATTATGTATACTTATATGATAAGTTACATAAAATAAAAATGATTAGAATTCATTCAAAACGTAAATGATTATTAAATTGATATCTCGTAGGTTATTTACCAATCTATCAAGTTGGGACCTCATTAGTAGGCTTAATTATTTCCCGCCACATCAATACTAGGAAAAAAATGAAAGGCTTTTTTTAATCTCGATGAAATAATTATATTTATCAATAAACTGAATGTATATGAACAGATACATTCTGATCAAATGTTGACTTCGAAATAAATCAAAATTAACTGATCAATAACAACGAAATTCGAACTCTTAAGTTGGAATCATCAGTAGTATATACATCATCGAGATATATTTGAAATTTACAAGTGATTTTTAATGAACCGATCAAAAGTAAGAAGAGAAAACAGCACAGAACTAACAGTAATAATAATAGCATAAAAATATGTTCATTGTAGTGTTACAGTAATTATAGGTCACGTTTATGCATGTGTTGGTTACCTGTATTGAGAAAGGTTCAGAAAATGAATTCTATCCTCTCCTATCGTTCTTCCTTCAGAGTTCTTAGATAACTACCAAATATATGATGTCCAATTTAGTCGTTTATTAAATAACTAAGAACAGATAAAACAATAACAAGGTTAAATGATATTTGGCAGATAATGATGTTATTGAGAACATAGTACTATTTGAGAAGCCTAATGCATTCGTAATTGCGAGTAATTCACAAATACCACTTATGAAAAAAATCTCAACAGTACACTTGAATAAAAATCTTGTACAGTTATTATATAATTTTAAAGTGAAATATATTAAAACCATATTTTGATTAGATTCTTAAGTGTTCTATATTAATTATCAATGCTTTTAGTGAATTTTAACCGAAAACTAATCACTGGTAACATTTTTTTAGTGAGATCATGAACCGATTGATATTAGGCCACCAGTGAAAACCTGAAATTACTGGTCGGCCGTTTTGTCCTATGGTAGGACTCCTCAGCACTAAACAACTACGATCCCACATGCCAGATTCGAACCCAGGGCCTTCGGTCTCTCACAGGAATGCTTAACCTCTAGACCACTGAGACGGCAACCAACGGTGTTAATGTCTAACGTAAACTAATCCACGAAATTGTGTGACCATACTCCATTGTACTGAGATAGATATCTGATTACTAAAACCAAATTTTATATCTATTTTTAAGTTAGACAATATTTTTTTGTTCAATAAAACGAAGTAAACATTCAGTATTCATTTACTACCGTATTTTGTTGGTGCTTTTTTCTTTGCTAAAATAAAACGTTAATGTGTTCTTTTGATTTTATTAAATTGACAAGTCAATATATATATATAAATTCATTTGACATAAAATTGGCCTCAGTTATCCAGCATGTCAAAACGTAAAACTACATTTAGGACACTGTCATCTAAATGTTCTTTTTACACAAATGAGTGTAAGGTACCGTTCAACCATAACAGAAAATTGTTGGTTTTTCTATAAGGAAAGGCCTGTTTGTTTTTTTTTAACTAGCTGAAAAATGTTATATGATTCTGGGTTAAAATAGAAAATTTGATGTACATAATAATTAATCGTATGAAAATAACAAATGTGTATATTTATTTATGAATGAAATGGGAACAAATTAAAGTGTATTGCTTGTGCAATCAAACAGTGAAGTACATACTGACAGCATATTCATTAACGTTACTGTTTATAGTTGAATTACACTTTAAATGCAAAAAGTTCTTCCTTACTAATTGTAATTGATGTTTTGGATCATTTTATGAATGAATCAATGCACAAGTTGAGTTTCTCTTTCGTTTTTTTCTTTTTGTAATCACGTACCATTTGAACATTTAATTTTATTATTCAATCCTTATTAGACGGTGTAAATTAAGGATATTTACTTAAGGAATTTTATGAGTTGAGTTATAACATTGAGTTGAAAAGTTGACTAAGAAAAATCTATCCATAAATCAGTTACTTTTAGATACTGAATAAATGATTAACAATCATTGTAAGAGAATCTTTTTAATTATGATCTTAATGAAGTTTAATTTTATATCATGGAAAAAATCATTTAGATAATGATATAGAATAATGTTGTAGAAAATATCAAGAAAAATACAAATCTATCTTTATTCATCAGTCACAACTATCTGAATGATAGCATGTAAAACAAGTAGCATTTCTTACTAATTAACATCTGTTGTGAGATAGTAACTCACTGAAGACAATGGTTGATGTGTCGCTCAATTTCGTGGATTAGTTGAATTTAGACTTTGACACCATTGGGTACCGGCTCAGTGGTTTAGAGGTTAAGCATTCGCACGCGGGACCAGTAAGTCCTAGGCTCGAGTCCCGCCTGTGAGATCGTGAATGCACACTGCTGAGGATTCCCATAATAAGACGAAATGGCCTTCCAGTGCTTCCAAGTTTTTCACGGTGGTCTAGCTTAAATGAACTAATGATCACAACTATTGTAATTAACATCAGTTGAAAAATTATTGAAAATCAACGACTACCTAACAGCTAAATTATTCGTTTTTGTATTGGTTGTTTAAATCTTCTCACTGATATACATCCAACTGACAAGTCCCAAATAGGATGAGACGCGTGTCCTGCATTCTACTGCTAGCCACCATTCATCTCTGTTTATAAAGCTATATTATCCGTGTTTGAAAATCTACAAGCACGATAAAAGCTAGAACTCTCGGGTTGTTTGGCAATCAAGATACCTCTTTAAACTACCAAATCCATAAACTGCGATCCATGCTTTAAATTTCTAACTGTTTTTCAATTTTTAAACTACACTACATCTCCATATAATTATTTCATTCAACTATATTAAGGTGTTATTTTATAAGTTATTCCTTTTTTAATTATTTAAATGACAATAAACATTGAATTCATAATATTTTCTCGATGTTACTATATAATTTTACATTCATTAATTTAACATTGACAAATCTAAAATTTCAGTTCACGGAATAACTTGGGTTAGATAACTTTTGAACAGTAGAAAACATTAGATAGTTGTTTCATCCTAGTATGGAGCCTGTCATCAGTGAGCATTCACTACCTAACATAGGACCTTTATAGGAATCTCTAAATAACTACTGAAAAATTATATCATAAACTTACAACTGTATACTCACAGAAATAGATTAGTATAAAAAGTGTACGACTCAAGTATCCAATATTTGAAATTGATAAAATTCTAAAAAAAAGATAAGAATTGATCTGATATCATCATCATCATCATCATCATCATCATCATCATCATCATCATCATCATCATCATCATCATCATCATCATCATCATCATCATCATCATCATCATCATCATCATCATCATCATCATCATCATCATCATCATCATCATCATCATCATCATCATCATCATCATCATCATCATCATCATCATCATCATCATCATCATCATCATCATCATCATCATCATCATCATCATCATCATCATCATCATCATCATCATCATCATCATCATCATCATCATCATCATCATCATCATCATCATCATCATCATCATCATCATCATCATCATCATCATCATCATCATCATCATCATCATCATCATCATCATCATCATCATCATCATCATCATCATCATCATCATCATCATCATCATCATCATCATCATCATCATCATCATCATCATCATCATCATCATCATCATCATCATCATCATCATCATCATCATCATCATCATCATCATCATCATCATCATCATCATCATCATCATCATCATCATCATCATCATCATCATCATCATCATCATCATCATCATCATCATCTCATCATCATTCACATCATCTCATCATCATCATCATCATCATCATCATCATCCATCATCATCATCATCATCATCATCCCATCATCATCATCATCATCATCATCATCATCATCATCATCATCATCATCATCATCATCATCATCATCATCATCATCATCATCATCATCATCATCATCATCATCACTCCATCCCTCATCTCTCATCATCATCACACTCATCATCACATCATCTCTCATCATCCACATCATCTATCATCACACTCATCTCTCATCATCATCATCACACCACACACCTCATCATCTCTCCTCATCATCACTCATTCATCTCACATCATCATCATCTCACCATCATCATCATCATCATCATCATCATCATCATCATCATCATCATCTCATCATCATCATCACATCATCATCATCATCATCATCATCATCATCATCATCATCATCATCATCATCATCATCATCATCATCATCATCATCATCATCATCATCATCATCATCATCATCATCATCATCATCATCATCATCATCATCATCATCATCATCATCATCATCATCATCATCATCATCATCATCATCATCATCATCATCATCATCATCATCATCATCATCATCATCATCATCTCATCATCATCATCATCATCATCATCTCATCATCATCATCATCATCATCATCATCATCATCATCTCATCATCATCATCATCATCATCATCATCATCATCATCATCATCATCATCATCATCATCATCATCATCATCATCATCATCATCATCATCATCATCATCATCATCATCATCATCATCATCATCATCATCATCATCATCATCATCATCATCATCATCATCATCGTGAAACGATTCAGTTCACACTAAAGACATAATTCACTATAGGTAGAAAGTGAAAATAGTCTATTGAATTAAATTCTAATGTATTTAGTAATAAATTATTTTCATCAAAAGACTAATATTTATTTTACCAGACAAAGCAATATATTTATATTGTCTACACTAACAAACGGAAGACAAGTCATAATTAAAATTTGCATTGTGTTGATTTTGCATTTTATTAATCTTCATGTAAAGTAGTATTTGTTATTTGCCCGTATAAGCATTCCGATAACTCAAATAATTTAGTTAACCTTCTGTCAAAGTACCACTGCAACAGGACTATCTAATTTTGTTCACCTTTATTATTTTTTATTTTAACCATACAACTCTAACTTCCCATAATGTCTTTCATTGATTATTATCAGAAGGGGTTTGTGGAGATCTTAGAAATTTCACAGATTGAAATCATGAGTCAATTGAAGCTAGATCAACATGGAAAACATGGAAGCACTGGACAGCCGTTTCGTCCTAGTATGGGACTCTTCAGAAGTGTGCACCCACTGCTCACTAGTGATTGATTTCAAGAGGCATTTCCTGTAGTTATAGTGAGAAGCCGTGACCAGTGGAGCTCAACCAGGTTTGTTGTGAGATATCAACTCACTGAAGACAATGGTGTACGGTGGCGCAACTTCGTGAATTGGTTGAAGTTAGACATTAACACCGTTGGATGCCGGCTCAGTGGTTTAGTGGTTAAGCGTTCGCGCGAAAGACCGAATGGTTTGAATCTGGCGTGGGGGGGCGGGATATTGGATGCGCACTTCTGAGGAGCCCCATAGTAGGACGAAACGGCTGTCCAGTGCTTCCGGGTTTTCATTGATTAATCACTGAGTAGTGGCCAATGTTTTATTTCATTAGTTCTTAGTGCTGATCGAATAGTATCCAGTTGCAATGTGGCCATTACATTCAGGTGACTCAATGTTGCACACAGCATGTTTTGATAATGGATAATTAGAAGTAGTCAAGTAAAAACTTTGGATGTAGATTTCATGCTGTTTTGCATTCGGGGTCACATTGAAACTTAGTCGATAGACTTCAATCAGCCCTAGCGGCCTGACAAGCATAATATTGGCCACTACTAATCGATTATTCAGTTTAAATATCTCAGTCCCAACGGAGATCAGTTGCACGTCAAAGAGCTTAGAGAAAATGGGTGATCGTTTCAAATTCCAGAGAGAGCACCGGTTCTCTCAATACTGTAGATATCTCTTGCTGACTAGAACCAACCAGCACGCAACATAAGTCTAAATAGCAGTGTCATTAACCTTCAGCCACTTAATATCAATTTTAAATGATGTATTCTGCCTTAAATCTGGCCAAATTTATGGATTATTAATTTTGACTTATAACTGTAGAAAATGATGAGAAATTATTCAAAAACATATTCTTCCTTCATACAATTGTGTTTTAATATCAATGTCTTTCACAGCACTTTAATTGTTTGGTTACATATTTAATATATTAAATAAGCCTTCAATAAACAATATACCCTTAGATGATGTATCACAGTAATTGCTATTAAAATAATTAACAAGAATATCTGAATTCGCTAGTCTGCCTCTTCGTAAAATAACTCAACTAGTTATCTATACATCATTTTATACCTCATTTAGCTGACTTGTACTGATATTGTTTTTTGTCCACTAATCACTTTACTTGAAATATATCTTTTCATGAGTATGAATTTCAGCATCAATAAGACAGAGAGGCGAGACTCTAATTTAGGGACGAGCCAATCAGAAGCGTTTGAGCAATTTCAATTATTAGTCAATCAGAAGACAGCATAAAGTAAAAATATATTAAAAGAAAGTAATAAATTACAGTGGATATTCTTCTTTGACATGATTTAAAAACTCGTATGTTAGCATCCTAACCGTAACCTTAACCCTAACCCTCAACTAACCCTAACCCTAAACCCTAACCTTAACCGTAATCCTAAACCCTAACCTAACTCTAACCCTAAGCTTTAACCCTCAATTAACCCTAACCCTCACCTAACCCTAACCCTAACCCTAAACCCTCAACTAACCCTAACCCTAAACCCTAACCTAACCCTAACCTTACCCGTAAACCTAACCCTAACCCAATGGACGAGTTTCTATTCCATATGGATTGTGAATTCAGAACCTCTGAACCTTAATCAAACCTTAACAAGTTTTTAAATCATGTAAAAGGAGAATATCCACTGTAATTCATTACTTTCATATAATATATTTTCACTTTATACTAACTTTCTTCTGATTGGGTAATAATTGTCAAGATCACTTAAGATTCGTTCAAAGGTCGTCCTTAAATTAGAGTCTCGCCGACCGAGAATATATATTCATATCTGAGGCATAATGAGTAAATATTCTGAGAAACAAATAATACTTAGTTTCAAATACATGATTTTTTACTGGCCATCGAACAGCATATTTATGCATCAGGAAGAGACAGGGATGAACGATAGTCATTATACATATTGATTACTGTATATTTAGTCAAGATAAAGTGCCATTCCATATATATCACGAACAATAACTCTTCTTTAGTCTACAGTCCAATTGCAGAAATTCAAAAAATATATATTGAGAAATTTTTCATTACCAACAATGACTATCTATCATGTTTTTTCTTTTTGCTAACGTGTTACAACTTCTTTGGATTCCAACAATTTTCTTGATTGCTTAACATGTACCCGACAAAATGCATTAAAAATCATCTGCATTTTGCTTATTGTACAAAGATTCTCATGTGTCTCCACTAACTCCCCTGTTACAGAATGGATTAGAAGACAATTTTGAGTTGTCCAATATTTTACACGCTTATAAGTTGTGATATTTATATACAATCACGTGAGTAGAGAGTTCAATTGCTAGTTACCACTTAGTCAAAACAAAACGAAAATATATAAAACACACAGTAAAACCGGCTGGTTATTTAATCAAAGTGTGTTAAAGTTCAAACTTGAGATTTAGTTACGTAAACTCTACTATCAAAGTAACCTTCCTATTTAATCTCTCAATAGAACTTAGTCTTTAAACGTCTGCATTAAATCTATTAGGGCAATCAAAACCTAATAATGCATAATAGTAATTTAATATGTAATTAGTTATTTCATTAACTTTTCATTATGTGCAAAGCTGATCATTATCACCATTAGTTTTGTACTAAATTAAATGTGATCCCTTGAAGTTTAAATTTTAAATAACTTTCTAATTTCTTTTTCGGTGAATAAATAAATATGTAATAAATAATAACAACAGGTTTAGTGAATATAATAAGATGATTAAAATGTTTTTGTTATAATAGTTAAAGGTCATAGAGGTGTAAAAATAAATAAGGTGATATGATGAGCATTTACGAATAAAATAATGAGAATATAAGACATAAGTAAATGGGGAATGCAGTACTAATAATAGTAATAGTAATAATAATAATAGTAGGATAATCAAAATAATTAAGGCCAAGGTGACGATAACGATAAGACGTACTTCTTTTGTACGCATAGTTCTGGTTTAAGCTCCTGGATGGTAAGAGCTTCGGTTATTTTTAAGAGATGGATACGAAGAAATCTGAGTAGATTTGAACGAATCATATAAACAACCTTAAAGTCAATTTGTGGATCTGTTGAATGGTTATAGTCGATTACGTGTTCAAGTATAGAACTCCTAACTGCTTTCCTTTCACCCTTATAGAACCAAGCTGGGATATATTCCCGTATCCGAGTTGAAAGCGAGCGCTGGCTACGGCCAATGTACCTTGCTCCACAAGAACAGGTGAACTGGTCGATGCACATAGAGGCGACCAGACGCGGAAGCTTATCTTTTATGGATCCAGAAAATAAGTTCCTACTAGTGAAGGTTATTCGCAGTTTAGCCGCAATAAATGTTCTTCTAATCGTTGTTGTTAGACGATTTTTGATTACGTCTGATGTTCGATCACCTTTAAATTCCAGACTTATATAAAAGTTTTTCTTCGGGACGGAACAACTAGATTTCTTGTCGTAACTACTACTTATATTCTTTCCTATGAAACGTTCTGAGTAACTTTTAACTATTATAACAAAAACATTTTAATCATTTTACTTACTTACTTACTTACTTACTTACTTACTTACTTACTTACTTACTTACTTACTTACTTACTTACTTACTTACTTACTTACTTACTTACTTACTTACGCCTGTTACTCCCAATGGAGCATAGGCCGCCGACCAGCATTCTCCAACCCACTCTGTCCTGGGCCTTCTTTTCTAGTTTCATCCAATTCTTGTTCATTTTTCTCATGTCTATCTCCATTTCTCGGCGTAATGTGTTCTTTGGTCTTCCTCTTTCCCTTTGGCCTTCAGGATTCCATGTGAGGGCTTGTCTTGTGACGCAGTTGGGTGCTTTCCTCAATGTGTGTCCTATCCACTTCCAGCGCTTCTTCCTCATTTCTTCCTCCGCTGGGATCTGGTTTGTTCTCTCCCACAGTACGTTGTTGCTAATAGTGTCCGGCCAATGGATCTGAAGTATTTTGCGTAGACAACTGTTAATAAACACCTGTATTTTCTGGATGATGGCTTTTGTAGTTCTTCAGGTTTCTGCCCCATACAGTAGAACTGTCTTGACATTTGTATTGAAAATCCTGACCTTGGTGTTGGTTGACAGTTGCTTTGAGTTCCAGATGTTCTTCAGTTGTAAATATGCTGCTCTTGCTTTTCCGATTCGTGCCTTCGCATCTGCATCAGATCCACCTTGTTCGTCAATGATGCTGCCCAAATACGTAAAGGTTTTTACATCTTCCAAATCTTCTCCGTCAATTGTGATTGGACTGGTGCATTCTGTGTTGTATCGGAGAATCCTGCTTTTCCCTTTGTGTATATTGAGACCTACTGCTGCTGAGGCTGCTGCCACACTGTTTGTCTTCTCCTGCATCTGTTGTTGCGATTGGGATAGAAGGGCCAGATCGTCTGCGAAGTCTAGATCATCCAACTGCATCTTAGATGTTCATTGTATCCCGCGCTTTCCTTCAAACGTTGACGTCTTCATGATCCAGTCGATCACCAGGAGAAAGAGAAAGAGTGAGAGTAAGCAACCTTGCCTAACACCGGTCTTCACTTCGAACGACTTTGTCAACTGTCGTCCACGCACGATTTTGCAGTGTAATCCATCATATGAGTTCTGTATGATATTGACTATCTTCTGAGACACGCCGTAGTGTCGAAGAAGTTTCCATAGTGTTGTTCTGTCTACGCTATCAAATGCCTTTTCGTAGTCAATGAAGTTGATGTAGAGTGGTGAATTCCATTCAATTGATTGTTCCACAATGATCTGTAGAGTTGCGATTTGGTCTGTACACGATCTATCCTTACGGAATCCTGCCTGTTGGTCACAAAGCTGGGCGTCTACGCAGTCGTTCATCCTGTTTAACAATACCCTGTTGAAGACTTTTCCCGGTATTGAGAGAAGAGTGATGCCCCTGTAGTTATCACAGTTGGTGAGATCTCCCTTCTTTGGTATTTTGATCAGAAGTCCTTCTTTCCAGTCTGTTGGTACTTGTTCTTCATCCCAAATCTTCCGGAAAAGAGTGTGGAGTGTCCTTGCAGTTACTGCTACATCTGCTTTCAGCGTCTCTGCTGGAACGTTGTCTGGTCCTGCTGCTTTGCCACTCTTGATTTGTCTGATTGCTATGATAATTTCTTTAATTGTTGGTGGGCCAACATTGATTGGGAGGTCCGTGGGCGCTGCTTTGATGTTGGGTGGGTTCAGCGGGGCTGGTCGATTCAAGAGTTCTTTTAAGTGTTCTACCCACCTGTTTCGTTGTTCTTCAATGTTGGTGATTACCTTGCCTTCCTTGCATTTCACTGGTCGTTCTGGTTTACGGTGATTTCCAGAGGGTTTCTTTGTTGTGTCATACAGTTGTCTCATGTTTCCTTCTCTTGCAGCCTTCTCCACCGTCATTGCTAAATCTTCCACATATTTACGTTTATCGGTTCTGATGCTCCTCTTCACTTGTTGGTTTACTTCTGTGTATTCAGCTTGTGCCTTGGCTTTTTCTGCTCTTGTTCGACTGGTATTGAGTGCTGCTTTCTTGTTCCTCCTTTCTTGAATCTTATCCAATGCATCAACAGTGATCCATTCCTTGTGATGGTGCTTCTTGTGACCCAGGACCTCATGACATGTTGAAGTGATTGCCTCTCTGATCCCCTTCTAGTTGCTCTCCACAGTAGTTTCTTCTCCATTGAGTAGATCATGAAAGGCCTGGAACTTGTTGCTGAGGACTATCTTGAATTTGTTGAGTTTGTTATTATCCTGGAGAAAGGCTGTATTGAACTTCTTTGATACTGTCTGCCCCGTTGTCCAGTGCTTCTTGAGTTTCAATTTCATCTTGGCGACCAGCAAGTGATGGTCTGATGCTATATCAGCTCCTCTCTTGTTTCTCACGTCCTCTATAGTCCTCCTGAACGTTTTGTTGATGCAAATATGGTCGAGTTGGTTTTTTGTAGAGTGATCCGGTGAAGTCCATGTGGTTTTGTGTATGCGTTTATGTGGGAATATGGTGCCGCCTATGACCAGCTTATTGAGGACACATAGATTTGCAAATATCTCACCATTTTCGTTTCTTTCTCCCAGTCCGTGTCGTCCCATGATGTCTTCATATCCAGTGTTGTCCGTTCCAACCATGGCGTTGAAATCTCCCATCAGAATGGTCAGGTCCTTTGTTGGGCACTTCTCGACGATTGACTGCAGCCTATTGTAGAATTGATCTTTAGCGTCTTCATTGTAGTCGTTGGTAGGCGCATAGCATTGGATGATGTTCATTGAAATACCCTCTTTCTTTGTTTTGAACGAGGCTTTGATGATCCTCGGTCCATGAGATTCCCATCCTATAAGCTCATTTTGTGCTTGTTTGGACAGCATCAATGCAACTCCTTGTGTATGTGGTGCATTTTCTTCTTCATGGCCGGAGTATAACAGGAGCTCTCCTGTAGTTAGTCGTTGTTGTCCAACTTGTGTCCAATGTGTTTCACTGATCCCAAGTACCTCTAGGTTGTATCTTCTCATTTCTGCAGCAAATTGGAAGGCTCTCCCGGTGTCCCACACTGTACGTACATTCCATGTACCTAAATAAATGGTCGCTCTGGTTGTCAGAAGGGGCATCGGCCTCGTAACTTCCGAAGGAATTCGGCTTTCATCATGAGGCGTCATAATTCTTCTAAATGAAGACCTTCTGACTCCCAGGGCAGAGTTTAAAAGGTTTGGATAATTTTTTCTGGTTAGCGTTTTTTTAGCGAGTTAGTTTTCTACGGGATGGGGACGCTAACCCCATGCCCCACCCTCTTCCTTTATCCGGGCTTGGGACCGGCAGTAGCCCCCAGAGGGACTCCAGGCGGAGTTTTAATCATTTTAATCATCTCATATAATAAATAATCACCATGGCATTTATAAAAATCTACACTTCATCTATTCTAATTTAAATTCATATTAGAACAAAATGAATGTTATAATCATTTCAGTTTTCATAAAGTATTTCTTTTCAATCAGTAGGCCTCAACATACACAAGGGGAAGCATCATCGATGAATAAGGAGGTTCAGATGTAGACGCAAAGGCGAAGGTTGACAAAGCAAGGGCTGAATTCCTACAACTGAAGAACGTTAGGAACTCGAAACAACTTTCAACCAATATCAAAGTCAGAATCTTCAATACCAACGTCAAGGTAGTTCTACTGTACGGAGCCGAA